CGGTCAACTACGGGAGGGGGCCCAAAACCAAAAATATGGTCAATATAACGACCGTAGAATTGTGGGGGCGGGTGTGGAAAGGAATTAAAAAACGAGTGCTCAACGTAGCCGACAAAAAGGTTGGCGAACGAGGGACCTATATTTGTGCCTATCGCACACAATTCTGGCGATAGAAGGAGTTGTCGAATTTGAAGGCGTTTGGTGTTAGAACGAGTTCGGCTAGGCGGATTACGGCGTGAAACGGAGGGTTTTGAAAGGAACGCTGACCAAGAAAATGTGAGAGAGCCTGTAGTCCTTCGGCATGAAGAATTACTGTGTAGAGAGATGTGATGTCCATTGTGAAGAGGATAGTGTCGGAGGTCGGGGCCAGATTAGACGGGCGTTGGAGGATGTCTGTTGTGTCTTTAACGTTACTGGGCCAGTTTTGTACAATAAGCTGCAGGACCAAATCTACAAAAGCGGAGATGAAGTAAGTGGGTCAGGATATGGCGGACACAATAGGTCGGCCAGGAGATCCTGCTTTGTGAATGTTGGGAAGGAGGTAGAATGAGGCGCCGCGGGGATGACGAACGATTAGGCGATTTGCAGTGGAGGGAAGGGAGTTGGTTTCAATCATGAGCTTTACGGTAGTTGTAATTTTATCCTGGAAAGCGGCGGTGGGGTCGGAGGAAAGGGGTTCGTAAAAATCAGAAACGGAGAGCTGTCGGAGAGCTTCCTCAGAGTAGAGATCACTACGCCAGACCACCACGGCTCCACCCTTGTCGGCTGGCTTGATTACGATGTCAGTGCGGTTTCGAAGGAATTTTAGAGCAGTAACTTCTTGTGGGGTTGCGTTGAGGGATTTAGAAATTAGGTTGCTAGAAGGGTTGGCAAGAATACTACGGCGTACTTTGATTGTATTGTCGGTTTCGGGGTGTTTGGCAAAACCGACAATTCAATCAAAACATGCCGTAGTAGTCTTGCCAACTCTTACGACGCCCTGGGGTGGACCACAAATTAGAACCACCGGAGGACACCTCTTTACGCCCGTCGAAAGGGGCACTGCCCGAGTCGAGATTCACGGCGAGATGTGCGCTGTGAGATTCTTCGTTTTACATGACTGCCAGAGACGTCATTATCGGCATGGACTTTCTCTGCGAATACGGCGCCGTTATTGACCTTGGATAGAACAGATTGACGCTGCGGACACATGCACCGCCTCCAGCGGAACCCCAAACAACGTCAGTCGCCGTCCGAGTCGCTGCCGACCAGGTGAACTCGCCACCGCGGTCAAGTATTGTTGGACCCGTCGTTACCAATGCAGCTACTTTTATACGGTGAAGTTGTTCTGGAAGGCAACGTTCGGTTGTTCCTGGGAGGAGAAATAGGTGTCACAAGGGAGGTAACTGAACTTCAAAATGAACGCACTGTGGTTCTCGTGACGAACTTTGACAAAAATCGCAACATCTCACGAAAGGTGCCGCTGTGGGCCACATCGAGGAACTCCAGAACTCCGCCGAAATTTCCGCGATTGCTGAAGAATCCTCGCCACCTCAGCAAGACAGTACACCGCCAGCGCAGCTCGACATTAACCCTAAGCATCCAGGACCGAAACGACGACAGCTGATTCACCTTCTCGCTGAATACAGCGACTGCTTTGCGACATCGTCGAAGGTGCACCAGACCACCGTTGCGAAGCTCCGCATCGGTATATCAAGGACGACGCGCTCCCTGTGCATCGATCACCGTACAGTCTCCACGGGATGCTTGAAGGCTGGATTATGTCTCGTTCAGCATTTCCTGCACTTGCTCCTGGATGACCTCTCTTTCTTTTACGGCGTAAAAGAAAGGGAGGTCATCCAGGAGCAAGTGCAAGAAATGATGAACGACGACATAATCCAGCCTTCCAGCAGTCCGTGGGCCTCTCCAGTCGTACTAGCTAAGAAGAAGGACGGAACGCCGAGGTTATGCGTGGGCTACCGGCAGCTGAACGCGGTTGCGAAGAAAGACGTCTATCCACATTCCTGCATAGGCGACACGCTAGACCGGCTGCGCCACTCTCGATATTTTTCATCGATGGACCTGAAGAACGGCTACTGGCATATCGAAGTCGACGAACGGGACCGAGAGAAGACAGCCTTCGTCACGCTGGATGGAGTGTACGAGTTCAAGGTGATGCCTTTCAGACTATGCGCGGCACCAGCAACTTTCCAGCGTGTCATGGACACCGTAGTGGACGGACTCCAATGGCAGAGCTGTCTCATCTACGTTGACGACGCTGTAGTGTTTTCAAGCGACTTCTACGCCCACTTGCGACAACTCCGAGCTGTTCTCCAAGCCATGCAGACCGCTCAACTCACCTGAAAGCCATAAAAGTGTCGGTTCGCCTATGACAAACTGAAGTTCCTAGGTCACGTGGTTAGTAACAAAGGCGTTCGCCTAGACCCAAAGAAAACTCTCGCCGTCGCGGTATTTCCAGCGCCGGCAGACAAGGAGGACATGTGAAGATTCCTTGGACAATGTGCCTACTAACGGGGCTTCGTTCGGGATTTCGCCAGAATTTCCGCACCGCTCACAAACCTCACGAAGGACGCCGAGAAGTTCGAATGGACCGAGGAGTCCAGCTCGAAACATCCGACCCAGTTCGACCCATTCAACGAGCTTCAGATTGTCGCATGGGTCGTCAAGCTGAAGCAAAGACTCGACTGTTCCTGTTTTTAGAAACTTCGATCAGGATGCGGAAACCAAGATTTACACGCACGCTAGTAACGCAGAACCTAGAGCAATACTGGTACAAGTACAATAAGGCACTGAGCGAGTCATCACCTATGCAAGTCAGACACCATTCAAGGCGGAGAAAAATTACTTCACGACCGAAGAAGAATGTATTGCGGTCGTCTGGGCAATCACGAAGTTTCGTCCGTACTTGTACGGGAGCCGGTTCCGTGTAGTCACGGACCACCACTCACTCTGCTGGCTTGCGAACTTCAAGGACCTTCGCTCGATCGAGTCTCCGTCTGCAGGCGTTCAACAAGTCAGGCAGCAAGCACAGCGACGCCGACTGCCTGTCCAGAGCCCTTGTCGAGATACCTCCCGTAACCAGCGACGACGGTGACGACGCGTGCTTCCTAGGCGCAGTGAACGCTGACGACGTGGCACGACGCCAGAAAGACAATCCTGAGCAGCGCGCGCTAATGGAGCACCTCGAAGGATGAGGTGGTACTATCCCCCGTGCCTTCTCAAGAGCCCTGCCGGCGACCTTCGCCATTCGGCAAGGTGCACTCTAAAAGGAGAACTTCGGGGAAACAACTTGAGGTGACTGCTGGTAATCCCGACCGACATTCGAAAGGAGATTTTTCAAGCCTGCCACGATGACCTGTCGTCCGGACACCTTGGTTACAGCCGGACACTGACCCGTATTCGTGAAAAGTATTACTCTCCCAAGCTCCCCATAAACCGTCCACCTCTACACACGATACTACCACGAGTGCCAGCGACGCAAGAAACCGCCGACGAAGCCGGCAGGTCTCCTGCAGCCAATTTCTCCGCCAACTGCACCGTTCCAGCAGATCAGAATGGATTTACTTGGTAAGTTTTCCGCAGTCAACCTTGGGAAACCGTTCGATAATCGTAGCCACTGATTATATATAACGCGATACGCCGAGACAAAATCCCTTACCTCAGGGACTGCTGTGGAGGTCACCAAGTTCTTCGTAGAGTCCTTGATCCTACGTCATGGCGCCCCTCAAGTCCTCATTACAGATCAGGGGTTATCGTTCATGGCGCAGCTGACGCAAGAAATTCTTCACCTTAGTCACACAGGTTGACGGAGCAGCTTAACAAGACAACCACCGACATGATCTCCATCTACGTCGACGTGGGACGAGGTATTGCTCTACGTCACGTTCGACTATAATGCTGCGGTTCAAGAAACCACCGGAGTTACACCTTTCCAGCTGGTACATGGTCGGAAGGTAACGACGACGCCCGACGCGATGCTGCTCCACGAGTCAACTGACGATGGGAGCGACGACGCCCTTGTGGTTGCGCAACGGGCCGAAGAAGTTCGCTAGTTTACCCGACTCAAGACCAGCAACTTGCCGACGCTGTCCGCCACAACCTTCGTCGTCGCAACGTCCACTTTCAGCCAAGAGACAGAGTGTGGGTGTGGACACCTATTCGCCGTTGCGGTCTCAGCGAGAAGCTGTTAAAATGGTACTTCGGACCGTACAAGGTGCTTCGTCGGCTTGGGGATCTGAACTACGAGATGATGCCAACAGGACACGGACTTCATCTCGCTGCCTTCCACGACTGGAAGTCGTCCACGTCGTGCGCCTCAAGCCGAACTAGGCTCGATAGGACTGTGAACTGCGTTTTTGTAGGACGCTTGATAGGTCTGTATTTTACAAATCTCCGCAGTTTGCAATTTTTTTTGTTTGTTTTCCTGTTTTGTTTCCTGACACGTTGCACCTGGACGATGCTCTTTCAAAAGGGGTTGTATTGCCACGCGCGTCGCCGAGTGAGTGCGGGCGTGGTGGAATGGTTACCGTGCTTGGCTTTCGCGCGGAGGCCCCAGGTTCGAGTCCTGGAAGCGGAAGCTACTTTTATTTATTCTTTCAACTTACCGTTCTCGTAAGTTCGAGAAACTTGTCGTTTGATCGAGGTTCGAATGTCCTACGCACCGAACGTTCTACGCCGAATGTTCCAGAAACCCACGCGGGTACAAAATATGCTCCACTTGGCGGTCCGGAGACTGTTTCGCTCTTGCGCTCGATTGTGCTACTCCAACGACCTTCGACCCCTGCGACGTTACCTCCTTATATTTTTGTTTTGGGCACAAGTTCGCCTGCATTAAACGTTTAATTTCCTACTGCACTAACCGTCTCTCTGCCAGTCATTCGTGACAATATTACCAGATCATTTGCGCTCTACTAGCGTCTAGAAATCACGCAATCAGTTAACGTGAACATGAGACTGCTTATATCTGGAAAGTGTTACAATATATTTACAAGAAAACTTACACTCCAGGCGTCCTGGTCTGATGGTGATATGTCTTTGAATCTAGCAGGCACTAGTGCGTTTTGGCAGACACTTTTCTTGTCGGGTCCTGGGTCAGTTGATACAACGCTTACGATTAACAATAAGCCTGCAAACGAAGTTCCTCTTTTCGGCAGCATATTTTGACCAGTGATACGATGAGGTGTTTAGATCGCTCTGCTTAGAAACTATCCGGCTCTTAATTTGTCAAAAGAAAAGGAACGGGAGGCCGCAAGTGAATTTAAAGAACGGATGAATGGAAGTTACCGAACTTGACACCTGTTTCTATATTTAACCATGTTTACCTGGAGGTCTTCCAGGAAAACAACGACGTCATCAACAACAAAAGCTTATTCTTTGCGGTTGAAAATTTTTACAAGGTGTATTGTGGACAGGTGGCTTGAACAACACCATTGAAACTATTCCCCGCTGTGGTATCTTCAACGTTTGCGACGTGACATTCCCGTTCCGAACCGCTCCTCTTTTATTTTTGTTCGCTTTACGAAACATAGCACAATAGACCAATGGCTGCATGCGAAGGGAAAGTTGAAACGAACTCGGTTTGCCTTTTACACTCTTGACGACAATACCAGGAAAAAAACGGCTCTGCGTCACATTGCGAAAGAGAATAGGCCTACGAGTGTATCAGAGATTGCAGACTAACTTTCAAACCGTAATTAAATTACATTACTAATTTGCTTTCCTGCAAACTGCAAAAATGTAATTAAATTACATTATAAATTACCGGACTAAACGTAATGACATTACATTACAGTTATTTTCTGAAAGTGATGAAATTACTTTAAAATTACTTTGACGTTACCTTTGAACACTTTGAGGCAGTAATTCGTGCTCGTTTTATTTACCGTATACACCAACACAGTGTTTACAAAACAAGCCGTCGTTTCCCCCCACAGCGCGTGGGCAGGAACCAGATCTGGGAGAAGCGAGGCTCTGCGCATGCGCAGTGCCGACAGCAGCGCCACCGCACTGATGTGACGACAAAGAGCTGAGTTGGTCTATATGTACCAAAACTCAGATCTTCCTGTTTACACCGCAACAGCCTTATGTGCCTCAAAGTGAACCATACTGAAGTGTGGTTTTGCTAGCGCGCACGGCATAAGTGTTAAATATGATGAATGGCTTCTTTAGACCTAACTCGGAAAGACAGTCGACTTCAGCGGTTTCGCTTTTCATTCAACGCTGAAGGTTCGTACTGAAAGGGGTATATGTTTCTGTCGTCCTGATTCAGAAGTTGTAGCCCGTATCAGTTTGTTATTTCGGGCAATGACAGCTCGTTCTTACAAGAAGTCGTCACGTGGAACGTTTCCCTTTGGCCTCGGAAGCATTCAAATCCTATCCTTCCAACAGCACTATACTCGGCGACAACTTTTCTTGGCCATGCAGTGGAGAGGAGGAGAGCACGCGCGCAGCTTTATTCAGGGCTCAAAATGGCAGAGGGAACGCGTGCCTGTAATCTTCACTGCATTGCCATGATAAGTTATCGCCGAGTATAGTTGATCTATTCTCGATCATTCCTTTCAAGGAGCATTTTTCCCAAACATCCGAAGAGCCCAAGTTTTTGCGCATTGTCGCACAAAGGGCCTAGATAATTTCTAAGCAGAAGCGTCGTCAGTTGAGGAATGGCGCGAGCTTCCTAAAATGTGTACTTTCCCAACAAATGGGGGCGATATGTGCTTGTAGGTTTATTCCCGAATAAACTTCCCAAGGGAAGGCAGCGAGGCATACAGCAAGCAGCACCTGCATTGCTCGAGGACGCACGAAACGTTCGGGGGCTATGACAAGGCATTTGGAATTAACTGTTTATTCCAGTCGTTTGTTGTTATCAATGGGTAAAGGTTATGGTTGGACCTTACTTGACGAAATTACGAGGCTGGGGACCTGTTCGCCCTTTCCTCTCAGGTTTTAAATTATGGTTTAACTAACTGGTGATGTGCTCGTCGCCTTGTAGCCTATGAGCCCTTCATCCCTAAGCTGACGCACTGTCAGCTTAGGGTTGAATGGTGAAAGCTACGTGTTTGCTGGAGCAGTCGCACGTCTATCGTTCGCCGCGTAACCACGCTCTCGTTCATACCCACGCGCAGAGGAAGGGACAGGTGACTAAAGAAAGGTGTTTGATTGGTTCTGGTTAGCTTGCAGCTCCCACAGCACTGTCAGCTTAGGGATGAACGAAGTATAGTATTGTCGTGATGACGCAATGCCGTGACTCTGTCGTGCCTGGAGTTCGTAAGCCCCTGCTTTCCAGCGATGTCTACACGTAAGCTTTTCTCCTTCGCCTTTCCAACCCTCCCTTGTGCATCTGTCCAGCTCTTCGAACAAGGCTTTGAGCTCAGGTGGCCGTCGTTTATTTCCTCTGATGCTCTTTCACAACATTTCAAAACGCAAAACAATTTTTCTCTTCTTTTTTAAAGCTTGCAAACGAACTTTCTAATTGAGGACAAAAGTAATTTTAAAAGTGATGAGTAATTTTCTCGAAATGACTGCCTGAAAGTAATGCATTACATTACCAAATTACTAGCCTAGAGAAGTAATTCATTACATTACTCGTTACTCCAAAAAGTAATTTAATTACTGAAATTCCATCACAGTAATGACATTACTGTCATCTCTGGAGTGAATAAACATTGCATTGTAATAAAAGTATTCTGATTAAAAAAAGAAAGTAAACAGGGAAAGTGCACATTTACTTAAGTTCGAGTGATTGAACGCATCGTTCTTGAGTTTTTGTGGGCAAGTTTGTTTCAGTTTAGTTTTATTTAAGATGGCAGACTGTACGTATTTTCTGCCTCGTGACTTGCGAAGTTTCCATGACGATGATTGTAGTTTTCCTGTAAAGTGTTTCCATCTAAATGGACAAATCTGCACCAAATAAGGCCTCTGATCTTAAATATTTTTTGCTCAATCTAATTTTTATTTTGAAATCATCATGCTCACGGAAACATGGCACACCGTTGGTGGTTAAGGTTTTTGTCCACCTTCGCACGATACTTATTTTATTAACCGTACACTGTTAGCAAAAATAACACGCCCAGACGTGTAAACCGTTGTCCCATAGCGGACACGTCAAAACGTGTTCGTTTTACACGCAGCCGTGTGTGTTATTCGTCTACACATGAGGTGCCGTGTAAACTTGAACACGATACACCGTGTCTGCCTTCCGCGAAACTCGGCTGAGCGTGTTCCTCATAAAACATGGCGGCCAGCAGCCGAGAACAAGCGAGAGACGAGCCCAGCGATGCGCGTGTCTTTCTGCGGAAGTGAGAGCACGCAGGACACGCTTGCTCTCGTTCGATGCCTTTTATACACAGTAAACAGTTTCCAAGCGGCGGACGTAGCTACGTGCAAAGGTACTGTGCCCCTCAAACTTAACGCCGCCACTCAGTTTCGCAAATATTGATCTATTGCATGCTACCCAAAGATAAGTTGATCGCTGCAGCTGCTGGAATACCGTCCTCTGTATGGGTTTTCATCGGCGACACAAATCTTCACCAACTAGTTCGACCGCTAGGTTCAGGAATAGCTCAAAAAGTGAAGAAACCGGACCATCTCGTGGCGGCGTTAAGCTTGAGGTGCACTGTACGTACTTCCGTCGGCGGCGTCGGTAGCTACGACGGGACTGCTAGACACGAACTTCTCAGAGAATAGATAAATGACTCGAACAAGCGAAATATTAGAATCGGGCGACGGCTCGCATTACCTCGGCGTAGCGACGTTGGGCAGCTACAATGAAACTGCTAGACAGACAAACGAATGCCGAACTTACATGGATAAATAACTCTAGCAAAATATTTGGAATCCGGCAGTAAATTCCGCCACTGAGTGAGATATCTCGCAGCTTATGAAAAAAAAAAAGAATCTGTTATTACGTTGATAACGATCACGATTAGACAGCAACAATACACACATCGCAGACAACTCTGTGTACAGCTCGCATCACAATCCCCAGATCGGGAACAATAAAAAGACAGACTATCACACACGTCTCAACCAATTTACGCCGACAAGAAGCAAGCTGAAAGAGGCTGTTAAGAAAATACACAGACTGCCTGATCAAAGTTATGGTTTCGATCAGTTTCACAACATGACTATCCGCGGGTATAACGATTGCGCAGTAACCTCACACATGGTTCCCTAGAACGCTGAATACTGAAATAGAATAGTACAAGCAAAGAGCATGCGTCCATTTTCTGCGAAACAGAAGGTGAACTCAGCGTCTGTTGGCGTCTTCGTTCACAACCACTTTCACAGTAGAGAACACTGCCATAGCGATGTTGGTTATGTGCGGAGAAACAGAACAGAAGGTGGTCATCAGTTGACACACTCTGTAAGAACATACTGCAGTAGACTCACAGGCTAATAACAGGCAGGGTCGCTGCAACGGTGGATTTTGCGGTCACCACACTCACGACTCACCGTCGTGACGCCCAAATAGGCTCAAGCAGGATCGGGAGACCCTCGCGCTTCCACCATGACTGGTGTACGTAGCACCATTTTGGAACTTGGCAGTTCATGACGGCTTCGTTAACTTATTTGACGAAATGAAGGGTAGAAACCACCATACTGCTCTGCGTCCTTGGGGGAATATACTATGGACGCCCTGTGGTTGACATACAAAGGTTGACAATTTCGGGTAACTTATAATGCTGCGTGGGCATGTGTGGGCGCACAAATACTTGTTATCAAACTGCGCGTGCAGCGTGTCGGAAAGAAAATAATAAAGGAGTCTCAAAGCGTAGAGCAGCTCACGAAGATTCAATAAATGATTCAATGTCATGTGAATTGCTGAAAGAGTTTTCTGCTTCAACCGACGATTATGAAGTGTTGTGTGCCGAGACAAGGGATATAATTTTTGCGGTGTGCTATCGGCCACCAGATGGTGCTTTGAATGTTTTTCTTTCATTCCTAGAAAATATGTTGGCCTGTGCAAGTTACCGCAGACAAAACGTCATAATAGGTGGTGATTTTAATATCGATATGAATTCTGATAGCGCGAGGAAAAAAGATTTTGAGACGGTGTTCCTTTCGAATGGGTGTACGAATGCTATTGAGTCATTTACAAGGATTACTGAAACGACGCAAACAACTCTTGATCTTTTCTTAACGAGCTATGATCCATCGT